GGCTATTGGGGCGCGTTGTTGTCCGAGCGGGCGAGTTCAAAGTGGTACGCGAACGACGTGAGAGTCAGTCGACACTGAAGGAAGACGGGTGTCAGAGACAATTAAAGGACAAACGGAATACGGCTCGGAAGACAGAGGAGTTCTCGAAGGACAACATCAGAGGTAGAAAGGGTGGTGGAGGAGGCGTTTCGTGGAGGTAGTGGTGGTACAAGCACAAAGACAGGTACAAGTAGTAGTAACAAGTTGATGGAGGTTCAGAGGTCGCAGAGGTGCTTGGGAGCAGCCCTGGTGGAGCTCCTGTTGTTTTTGCTTGGCACCAACTTGGACGGGGCCGAGTTTTGCAGGGCGATGGGTGCTTATGGCGCGTGCCGTGGGCGTCGCGGTCGTTTGGCTTGGGTGCGGGGTGGGAGATGCGTACCTCTTTTGTTCCTTTCTAACCCTTTGGTCCTTGTAACCCTTAACCGAGCAAAATGTAGTGGAACTGTGATGCAGACCTGAGAATGTCGCGATCTACCAGGTATCAAAAAAAAGTCAACAAATGAAAGCTCAATGAGACGGTTCGGAAAGGACAAGGTATGGGGGGTGGAAGAAGAAAAAGTCATCTGTTGATGGGGGAACTGAGAGCTTTGGCTGGGGCCATTTGGGGCACGTACTAATTAATTATCCGTTAAAATCGTAGGGAAGTCGCGCCTGGCGTTGTTTGTTCCGAAGCTGCAACAAGCGCTTTCAGCTGGTTTGGTTTTGCTGCCACGGCAACCAGTTGGCGGCGGCCTCTCCCGACCTCTACCGACCTCTACCGACCTCTACAACTCTGTAGTTACCACCAATCACAAACATCAATTCGTGTCATCACTCGTGCTTCGAGTAACTACGTGCAGTATGTACATGTGTTTGTACTCTGCGCCTAACATGCTTGACCACCAAATTCTGTGTTCAATAATACTCAATACGACGTTCTCGCAATACCAGCCCTTTTCATCCCAATGCGACTTCTTCAGAGTCGCCGTCGGCTCCCCTCCAAATTTCTACCGCCCATGCGGAAAGTTGCGTTGAAACACAGCTTTGACACTCCCGTCCAAAATAACTCCGCCTGCTACTTCTTTGTCGTGGATCAATCTCCCATTCGTCTCACCAGACTCCCATTGAGCCAGCAGATCGTTGCTCTCCTTTGGCTTGATATCCGGCCCAGCTGTTCCTACCGTGATATGTGGGATTGCATTGGCACTCCGCCATGAAGGTCCTTCAGCACCAGGATAAATGCGGACAACAAAGGCCATGATCCGGTCGTCCCAGACCACTCTCTCTAGCTTGACTCGTGCTTGTCCAAGACCTGGTGCCAACTCATTCTTGTTCTTGAGATCTTTGCCTACCATGGCTTTGCGATATTCTTCTGTATACATTTCCCACAGTTTGGGATCTTTGGTTGCAGATGCCCGATGGATCAATGTCACATGAAATTCATTCTGGAGGCGCCGCGACTGTTTCAACATACGGTACATCCGCGCTTCATCGGCTGAAGCCTGGTCGAATATTGAGCCAAGAATGGATTCAATATCCCTCGCAGACACTGATATGCTGAAATATTCAAGCTTGCCCGTCAATTGGTCTAATGTCAGCGGCTTTTCCTCGAGCTGATGTGCGCCGGTCGTCTTCTGCTTGTGAGCTTTCTCTCCACTCGCGGGCTTTCCGAAGGAGAGGTCATGTTTGATCGTGACTTCACTACCCATCGCATAGTCAATCGCGGATTGCATGTCCTCATCACTCGGCATGTCTTCCGGCAGAAGTCCGGGGTAGGCATTGTAAAGGTGGGTGATGACTGTCTCCAAGTTTTCGAGAGACGACGCACAGACGTCCAGATCGATGACTTCGTCGAAGTCGGCATCTGGCGGCGTGCTCCTGTCGCAGCCCTGAAAGCGCTCCAAGAACCCTTCCATAATGCCAATGATCTCCTGCGGACTCTTGCTTCCTGCCCGAATAGTTTGATGATTGTCTCCACGGTCAAGCACGCGCTGGCGGGTCACTCTGCGAATCTCGTCGAGCATCCGATCCTTCGGCTCATGAACGTAGTGCAAAGCCACAAATCTTGCCTGCGGAACCACTTTGCTGACGTCTTCCATGATTTGCTGTCTCTCCCGGCGTTGATGATTGTTACGGTCAGCGACCACCACTTTATGGGCTGCCATGGCATTGACCACAGCAGCGGCGAATCGGGCGGGTCGACCTCTTTGTCCCTGGATATTGTCGTTCTGGACAAGTCCAAAGTCAAAAAGCTTCACCAGTGCAGTAGCCACAGTAGTCTTGCCGCATCCGATCGAGGCGATGGGAACAAGGACGATGTCACTGAGAGACTGATGCCCGCCGCCGTCTCCATTTTCACGTTCTTTTGCGATGATGTCGGACCCCTTCTGGCCAATCTCCGCAAGAAAACCATCACGCATCTTGATGATTCCGTGGTTCTTGTTGTACTCTTTGGCCAATGACGGATCTCTGGCTAGTTGCCGACGTGCGTATTTCAAGTACTCCTCGGTGATCTTCTGGTGCTTCTTGTACTTGGGTGGTTTTCCGGAAATCATGGCTTTCGTACATTCACGCCATTGCCGGTACATCAAATAGGGTTCCTCGAATTTGTACTTGAAGAACCAGTCTGGTGCCATTGACCGATCCTGACTTCTCTTCTTGCATCTGACCACGAATCCTTCAGTGTCTCGTCCTTCCCAGGAGCCAGTCTCGGCGCATTTGCTGAGAAATTCTTTCACCTCTTCGAGAGATTGCATCATCACATACTGTGCCTTTCTGAAACCCCATGTATCGGCGAACTCGTGAACCTCCGGCCCGGACAAAGTGACAAATTCAGGAAGGTTGATGTTGATGCCATGGAGGTATAGCCCAGCCGCTTCCGGAGGATATTCCAGAACGTGTTCTTCGAACGAATCGTCACATAGCTCGCCGACTGCCGTAGCATTCAAATCTCTCAGCGCTTTCGCCAACTGCCGCGTGTTCTTGCCCACGCTTTCGACATGCCTCTGAATCCACTTCTCTCCCACAGTAGCATGACTCTGGTCGACATCAGAGCGTGCACCCGTAGAGTGCTTGCTGCAAACTAGTAAAGTACCGTCCTCAAGCCCGGACATGAAAATGATGCAACCGTTCTCCTTGACACTCAGTTCGTACGGCCCAGTGGTATCCCTTTCAATATTGGGCCACTTTGTCTCGGGGACTTCATCAACGTTGAAGAATTTGTCATATCCTCGGACTGCAATTTCTGGAGTGCCGTCTGATCTCCTCGTAGTAAAGAGTCCACGAGCATAAGTAGGAAGGTCATCACGCTTGTAGTCCCAGTCGTTGAAACGCCAGGAGTCAACGGTAATACCGTGGGAGCCTTCGACTTCGAACGTCGCCTTCTTGCAAGAGAATCCGGATTTGCCTTTCGATCGCCCTCCTTTTGATTTGGCAGCTTCGAGGGTCTGAATTAGCTGGCCAATTCGGTGAGGATCCTGCGCCATCTTGGCTAACTGTGCGCCACGATGGTCACAATGTACGTGATTAGACAAGTGAGGCAGTAAAGGCACAGGAACCGAACCAAAAGGCCGACGATACTCGCTAGCCGTAGGGAACGAGGCTGCAGAATTGATGGGGCGTATGTAAAGTGGGAGAATCGAGGTGTACGGAATTGCCAGAAAATTTATGTCATGATAATCACCTTTCGTTTTACGCCAGGAAGGCACAACCCTCGATGCCTCGATTTATGATTGCAGAAATTCACTTCGGCCCCTTGGATGGTTGAGTCATTCACTACTAGTAAAACCCAGAAGGATGTGGACTTCATTTCTCAAAGGATGAATTTCGAGAATCCATAGTGGGTCAACAGAAGTGCTCAGCCTGATGAGTAGTGGTGGCACTTTTGAACTAGCCTTGCGGCCACAAGTGGCTGATGTTCGCTAGGATTTTTCCACCACTCAAGTGTTTATCTTTGTGACTCAATAACTACTACTTCGCTTTTTCAAAGCTGAGGCTGACTCCCCAATTGTGACACTCCAGGATTCCCACCTCGTCTCCTATCACTAGAGTCTATCGGGGTCAGCTATGCTCCAATGCCAATCTTAAGTTGTCGTCAACAGGACTTCCTCCCCTTCTTCCATCTATCATGTCGACGGACCCCAACCTAAATCCGTTTTTGCTCGCAGCAAACACCCCGGATCCTGACCACCGACTCCTACCTTTACTTCGCTCCAGACCAGAGTTAGCGTCTGCGCAAGACGCACATGGTTATTCGCTTCTACATGCCGCGGCTTCTTATAATCATGCGGATCTCTTACGGACGCTGGTCAATGAGTTCAACGTGGATGTGAACTTGAAAGATGAGGACGGGGAAACATGCTTGTTTGTGGCCGAGACGGTAGACATCGCAAAGTGCCTGGTGGAGGAGTTACACGTTGACCTCACAGTACAAAATGACGAAGGTATGACTGCGCTCGAGAAGTTCGAGTCCGAACAGGAGTTCCCAGAAGTCGCAGAATACCTCCATACCCTCCCCTCACTAGATCCTACCGCGACATCTGCACATTCTGGGTCGATCTCCAATGGAGCTGCCCGCCCTGCATCCCTCCCACCCAATGTATCTATCAATATCGGCACCGAAGACGACATGTCACGGGCCACGCTTGAACAAGAACCCGACCCCGAATTTAGGCGAAGGATAGAAGAGCTGGCAGCCAAGGAGAATTTTCACACCGCAGAAGGTCAGAGAGAACTGCGCGAGCTGATCACGGACGCAGTGAGAGATGTGGGAAATGAGAGCCGGGAAGTTAGGAGACGTTTCGAGTAATTGCAAGCGCATCGGATATCTGCAACGGCGGACCACGTAAAGCGCCGCCTCAACCACATCCTCGGCTGTGCATATATCACAGACGGGAACGAGCATAGCCGGGCCTAACCGGCGACATGGTTGTGTGTTGTTACCAAGGAGCTTGCAACACGAAAACCCATGTCCTGCACAGAATTCAGTCGTTCATCCACGCGGTGACTCGACTGGAGCCAAATCTAGCCGCAAAGCGCAAGCCGCTACTTCCCATCGGAAAGTAGCTGACTAAATACCACACCAACGCCACAAGCTGCACAATCGAGGAAATGAGAGTGAGGATCGTGGAGTGGAGCTGACATGGTGTGTCAGTATTGTCTTGCAGCATCGCGACAAGGTCTAGGATTGTACTTACACCCACGGCGAAATAGATGGTCATGATGATTGAACCAAAGTAAGCGGCTGTAAATGGTAGACGAGGGCCTGAGAGTAAATGTGTTGTGTATTGTACCGGTCCCATCAAAAAGGCCCATGAGGCAAGAAACATCAACGAGCCAACCGACCACCTATCATGACGCGTCAGCCACACGTACGACTCCATTTAGACACATGCACAAATCCAGGTTCTGAAAGCCAAATAGACACCTCACAGGGGTCTTCCCGAGCGTGGGCATCAAGCTCAAGATAGAAAATAGCTGACATCATCATGGGGTGTACGCGCTGTCACATGGCCCCCCCCAGACGAGTGCGTGGTGGTGTGCAGCAAATGTAGTAAGGGCCCGGAATGACTTTGGGAGACTTACAGAATTGCGAATTTTCGTGGCTTTAGAGACAAAACGGGGAGCAACGCAAAGCAGATAACGAAACATGCCAGCGCTGCGAGATTGCAGCCACCGAAGATCAACAAACGGTCCCATCGACTTACTGTCAAGTCATAAAAATGTCAGTCATTCCTGTGAGTGCGGATTTGGGTTGTTCTGTATTCTTGGACAGGAGTCATGCGCGAAGCCAACATACATGCGAACCACCCCTCCTCTTCCTCTCTCCTCGTCGGCGCCGGTAGTGGTGCACCTGGAGCCTCGTGTGTGGGTAATTGGACGTAGCCTTTGCCTCCGAACGGATTGAGCGACGAGATTTTGGACAACAAGGGCTTTGACGACGACGTATTGACCGGGACGTCCGGATCTCTTCTGGACCACCCCAAGGAATTCATTGATTCTCGAAAAGAGGAGGACGCCATTCTGACCGGTCAACCCTTCTCAGTTCGAATTGCTTTGTCGGACAATGATTCCGTCCGGAACGGACGTGACACCGCTCGAGTGTCGATCTGCCCACTTCCAGGTCTTTTGGTCCTTCCAACAGAGACGCCTGGCTCCTCTAGAAGCTTCGAGCTTCTGTCGTGCCAGGCTGAGGAGCACAGACACCAATTGAGGGAATGACGAAGGTTGGAATGTGTTTTGGCTCTAGCGCAGTGCAGGATTCTCGCTTGTGACCAGACCCAACTCAAGGCGACTTCACGGAATGACACGACCGAAGGAGATGTAAGAGTAATGCCGTGCAAGGGCAATTCGCGCCAGGGCGCATCGATTGAACTCTTGTGTAGGGAACGCAGATGGAATAGGCACGATAGGCAAGGCAGTAGAGCAGGATTCTGCCGGCTGCCTGCAGAATGTCTTGCTTTGCAAGGTGACAGCCTCCGGAGTTCACCGAAGTGGCAGAAGGCGGAAGGGTGGTTCGAGATCGATGGAGAGGAGGGCGAAGAAGGTGGGAACTGCAATGATAGCAGTGCGCGGTGCACAGTGCACAAGGGCACCAGTGTGGTCAAGGGTAAAGTCTCGACGGAGCCAAGGTGTGAAGCCAAACGAAGAGAGGTCCGGTTGTATCGAGCAGAAAGTTGGGGAGAGGGTGAGCGACCAAGACAAGTCCGACCACAGATCCAGCGCTTGGGGAGCTGCTCCCCCAGTTGCCACCCTCGCCAGCGTCACCACCGTTGCGCTAAAAATGCACCAAAAGGCGATTTGGGCCAGGCATCCAATCACCGCTCCACCTCGTCCTCCCTGACAACCCCCCTCCATTGCCCACCTTTCTGCTCGAGGTATTGCTCGCATATCCTTGCACTAGTGTTGACCTGAATTACTCGTTCAGAGAGGATGCTATGCCGTGAACAGAATCGCGAAGTTGCTGCTCGTATCCCGGACGGTGGTCATCAGCCCAAGGCCAGAATGTCCGCCGCTAAACCAACAGCCCTACCCCGTGCATTCGCTTCATCAGCTTCTCATGGCCCTTGCCGTTCAGGCAAAGCGTAAGTCTTAGTAGCAAGAACTACCGGTACTGAACCAGGCCGGATAAGCCAGAAGCCAAAAGCCCGAGCCCAGAGCGCGAGCAGCCAGCGGTTCGTCCCATCCGCATGGGTTTGCAGTATGGGGCGCCGTGTCCCTAACTTTACTATACCCATCCTCTAGCAAGTCAACTAACCCGCAAGAGAGCATTTCCCTCTGTGACGCATCGGGCACATCCGTCGCACCGCGATAGCTGCAGAGAAGGGACGCTGCATGAGCCTACGCCGATCTACCCTGCATGCTTGAATGCAAAGCATGACAAGGTTGTGATATTGGCCAGCATTGAGCAAAAGGACGAACTCTAAGCAGTTTCCGGAGATCTGATCGTTTGGTGTCGTGTCGCACAGCATTCCAGGCGGGGGTACGAACCTCCTCCCAACCCGGGCAACGTTGCAACAGAACGTGCTACTCTTTTTTTTCCGGCCGAGGATGGATGGAGCCGTGGGTGAGCGTGGGTGAGCACGGATGCGATTTTGGGAAAACAGTCATCTGCAGGCATCATGACTTTTCTGGAAATCCCACAGTACACACGTCGCCAGCCTTGACGGACCCTCTAGTGAGCGTTAGATTGTGGCTTGGCTGTTCGGAGTGGTGTTGCTAAGAAGGGCACTTGACCTTGCTCACCATGATCGACTGATGTAATGAATGCCTTGATATACCGAGTACAAGTCATGCAGCTGAGCTGGACAATGAAAGGGTGTATGTACATAGCCATGCGGGCAGAGGAGCGAACTCTGTCCCAGTCTCATGAGCCCTTCCAACACGGCCACCCGAGACAGGACCAAGTTGGCAAACATAACAGATATAGTCAAAAGGAGGGTGGTCCCCGTCTTGCTCCCTCGTCCCATGCCGCCTTGTCGCCCTTGAGGAAGTCCGCACAGCCAGTAGACCGGAGGGGTTCACACCCTTTCGGGGTCCACCCGTGTTGCTCATCCCGCTCATATCAGACCAGGGTCCAAGCCCTGGGGTATGTATTTCGATTGGTCTTCCGGTTGTATCCGGCACCCTGCGCGCCGCCTCATGTGGCTGCGCATGGGTTAAAAGGAGGAAAACTGGTGGAGTGCATACGCAACGGGAGTGGCAGCTGGAGGGTGCAATGGGCAGGCTGTACTGGGTACTGGTTGTCGACGAGCCAGCCTTGCATGCACATATAAAGAGATCGACTGATCCAGGTTGGACGTAGCGAGAATTTATCGTCCGTCTTCGATTTTCCCGGTAGTATCTAGAGCAAATCGGCTCATTTTGTTCGAGCGCAGGTGCGGGTTATCCGCTGCTTGTTATCCCCCTTCCATCTCCATCGACCCGCCCCTCTCCAAGGGATCGTCCAGACCAGCTCCCTCCTGAATACTCATCAGCTCCTATAACAAACTGAAAGAAGGTCGTACCGAAGTGCCCATCAACCCGTCGACCTATCAAGTGTCAACCTTAACAAGTCGCACAGTCCAATTGAATCGTGCTTGTGGCATGAGAGGCGGCAGCTTGACTCACATACTCGACTTGTGCCGCCGCCCAATCCAGCCCCGCCCTGTGCCAAGGTCGAGCTTCGAGTCCAGATCGACTCGGAATTCCATTGGTAGAGCCGAATCGCGGTGACGAACCCAGACGACTCTGGGCAGCCACTCACCAGCTGTCCAACCCCCCAGCGCCCCCCCAGCGCCGCCACTGTTGCCCTTCGACTTCTCCGTCGCCCTTCTCCCTGGCCTCTCCCACTCACTCGGTCACGGCATCTCGGCCGCACTCAAAATTCACTTCCCCAAGGTGGCCTTCTCGCACTGCCACTGCCACAAACAACCCTTACCCTGACGGTACCCTCCCTGTCTCTCCGTACAACAACCACACCGCATCCCACCTTCAACCACAACCACGACAACCCCCCTCGGAGCCTTGCCATCCCAGACACTCTGTCCTGATCTATTTCACCTTATCCCGAACAACCGCGATTACGACAACTTCTGACGTTGACGACATCGACTCTGTGCCACTTGTGCACCTGCCCGCCACAAAACCTCGATTGAGCGCAGCTCCCACCTTCAGGTCTTCTGTCCCACGGCTTTCCTCTGGTTGCCCCTCGCATTCAATCCGCACCCGCTATCTCGTCCACATTTCAGCACAGCTCAATAGTTTGCGCTCTTGATTCGCTTTGCGCCCGTCCAATCTTCCCTCTGACCACCTCAGTCGCCGTTTACCACATCAATCATTCAAGGCAACCCAGAAAGAGGTGGTATCGGCGATTTGGGTCAGCCTTTAGAGCCAAAAAGACTCACGCCGTCGGAGAACACCCCTTGATCTGTCTGCTGCTGTTCGAATTGGGACGGTCTTTTTCTCGCTTCAGACGCACGCTACACAGAATAGCGAATATCACCTAGGAAAACACGACGGAATAAGGCCGGACGGTGTGATTCATTGCTGACAGCGCATACTGCCGTCAGCCTCGTCCACGTTGCGACAGGGAAGTTTTCGGCACGGATGGTCACTGCTTGACGGTGACAACCCAAGTCCATTCACTCTCGGTATCACTAGGACGGAGTTACCCTCGATAGCCGTGCTTCACCTTTCCTCATTCACCTGGTCAGCAAACCCCATGGCTATATCCGCTTGATAGCCACCTGGTTTCTTTTGTTCGCTGCTGAGTGACATCTGGGTCAAAGCACGCGAGCTGAACTTCCTCTATTCTTATTGCCACCTTATTCCGACCACCTACTTCTCAATTTTTCCTTTGTTTTGGATCATGACACATTCTTCAGCCGGTATGCCCTACATCAAGAGCGAGCCCGACGACTTCGGTAATAACCCTAACCGATTCATGTCGTCGGCGAACTATGGCAACTCTCAGGGTTATGGCAACCAGTTCAACAACCAACAGGATGGCGGGAGCATTGACCCCTCCGAGCTCTCCATGCCCACTACCAACTATGGTAGCATGCCATACAACTATGGTGGAAATCCCATCTCGTCCAGTTACGGCGTCGGGGTGGGACCCGCTTACACTGATAACGAGTTATTAGAGTCCCTCGACTTCGGAAACAACAATGGTCAAGGCATGTTTGATGATTTCACCATGGCAAATCCTACCAACAGCAATAACAGAAATTCAGGTGCAGTCCAAATGGACCAGCAGAACCAAATACCCAATGTCTATTCTAGTACTCCGGACGGGCCTCCCATTCAGAGCCCATTCCTTGGAAACTTTGACTATAACCAATTCAGGCCCATGGGTTCCCTCCCGACTCATATGTCGCCTCATCAAGGTTCCCAGTTTGGAAAGCGTCCCAGTATGCAGGCGGCAAATCGGAAATCGTCCGATCAGCGAACCCCGTTGACTCCACGTACGGCAGGGATGGCAGGACTACAGATCGGAACTCCAGAATCGGGAAATCTTGCCAATGGTCGTCCCATCCGCGCCCCGAACGTCCAAAATCGACACTCCAAGACCTTGTCGGGACAATACGACAGCACGCCTGGGAGCTTCCATTCATACCTAGATTCGCCGTTGTCATCTCCAGGCAATGGCATTCATCATGCTGGCATTTCTGAGACTCTTGGGACTGGTCATCATGCCTCACTACCGGCAAAGGTCGATGGCGGTCTTAGTACCAGCAATACAGAGACTGCAGAGGCTAAGAAGCGAAGGAGGCGTGCGTCGCACAATGCCGTTGAACGGCGACGGCGAGACAACATCAACGAACGCATCCACGACTTGTCCCACTTGGTGCCACAACACCGCCTGGAGGATGACAAGGTCAAGAAGCAGTTACAGAGTACTGGGCCACTCTCGCCAACTACCGGCGCTGCGAGCATGAGTCCGCCAAATGCCAACAATGCCGCCACATCATTACTCGCAGGTGCTGCCGGTCGTCGCGCTGCCAGCACTGCAGGGAACATCACAATTGGACTACCGATT